CGATCTATAAAACTTGAGAAAGCGGAATTCAATTAATTCTGAGGTTTAAAAATGTCTGAATTCCTCGAGTTTTATGTTAAAAGGGTCGGGGGACATGAAAAAAATGTTCTCGAAAATCCGTTCATATCAGCCCCTCGAGGAGTTGAACTTGTGAGGGCGATGATTGAGGGTGCGGCGCCGCTACCGACTGAGCCACGCGGGCGAAGAGAAAGCGGCCGCCCGATTGCATACAAAAAGGCGAGGACGACAGCTGTACGCAGAGTGACATTAAGCGTTGTACNCCAAGATACAGTATTCGAAATTCCATCATTCTGTGGTTCTTATCGAGTTCTATGATAAGTATCTAATTCAGTTACTTAGTTATTCAGTTAGTCAGAAAATATTGATCTTAAAAGAAACTATGACAAAAATCCTAATTTTTCTAGATCATCTACTGGTTCTACTACATTCACCGGAAGGAGATTATTCGCGAGAATTTGATCAATCGAATTGACGGATAGGCTTGAATTTCTAATTTAATTTTCTTTGTACCCTATGTATATAGTTTCGAACTCGCCGAAATAAAAAAAAATTTAAAAAATACAAATTTTACATTACCAAAAGACCCGTTTGAACCGAGATAAGATTCAAACCGAAACAAAAAATTTAGAGATCGGGAGAAAAAACATGGGCAATTAATGAAAAGGTAAATTAAGGAACAAGCTAATCTTCAATTATAAGCGGTGGTAGTTCAACGACGTCTTCTGCTGGATTCTGATTTTCGGGAACTTCTGGAGCTTCTGGAGCCTGCTCTTCTGGAACATCGGCGTCTGGAGCTTCTGGAGCCGGTGGTGGTGGCGGAGCACGAGTCCGGGGAGCAGCCACGTAAAAAAGGAAATAGATGTCTTCGCAGAGTGGTCCGCCGCACTTCGATTGGAACCATTGAAGGACAGGGGCGCTGAGGAGGATTCGTTCGCGGACGTGGTATATGAAGGCTGAAAGGGTAAAAATGAGATTTTTCTGTTTGTCTAGATGTCCGCAAAAAGCAAAAAATTATAGTTTTAGTATATTCCTAGAAAAAAGCAATTTTGAATACGGTCACCATAAAAACCGAATGCGCAACTTGCAATTTAGGCTGCGCCCCCTGATTCCGTCCACATTTTCCGGCGACTTTTTCGAAACGAATACACTTCAACGTAATGGCCTAGATTTTGCAAGTTGCGTTTTTTAGGCCACCATGGTAAAATGACCTAGAAAACTTAGCAGGTGAATATTAGATTAATTATGGGGCATTTATCATGGTGGCCTAACTTTTGCATGTTGAGATTTCCAGGCCACCATGGTAAAATGGTATATAAATGACCTAGCATTGATGTGGCCATTTATCATGGTGGCCTAATAAACTCAATTTGTAAAATATAGGCCACTACGGTCAAATGACCTAGAAAACACATCAGATGAATTTCAGATTAATTCTAGGTCATTTTGAAATGGTGGCCTAACTTTTACAAGTTGCATTTTCTAGGCCATCATCGTGAAATGGTCTGGAAACATCGCAACATGCTCTGGCGTGTTTCTAGGACACTTTGAAGTGGTGGCCTAATTTTTGCAGACTGAGTTTTCTAGGCCACCACGGTAAAATGACCTACAAAACACACCTGATGACTATCACGCCGATTCTAGGTC